CCCGGCCCTCGCTGCCGTGCTGGTGAGGGCGCTGGAGGGAGGGCACCGCCAGCTCCCGAGCAGTTGTCCCGGGACCGCGGAGCGCTGGAGGGCCGTGAGAAGTTAGGATACGGGAGGAAATGCTGCACGGTTAACTTCTCTTCTGCGATAATTGTATAAAACGTTAGGGTATTAAAATCTTCCGGTGCAGCGTGTCATCCTTCTTACAGCTTTATATTGTTAAGTTTTTCTTCAGCCGCTGGCAAAAGCGTAGAATGAAAGGGGATTTGCAAAGAGAATATGCCCTCTAAGTCCTTCCATTTTTTGGTGTCATAAATTTAAAATCACAGGTCGTTTCCACCGAAGGTGAGAAATCAAGTTGATGGTAAATGTAAAATGTTTGACAGTAGCAGTGTTTTTCTGGTTAAACTGCTGTTTTGGATACCTTAAAAATTGTTCTGCTATTAAAAATGCAGTAAGGCTCTTCAGCTGCCTTTCCAACTAACTATGTATTTCTGTAATACATGGCACAGTTCTGTATGCACTGCTTACAAAAGTAATCTATCCTTGAATAGAGCAGTGGAAAAGAAGGAAGCAAAGATCTGACTAACCCGGAAAAGTGGTGAGTGCCCTCAAAATCTATTTCAGGGTTCTTGCTGCGTTTTGGGATATGGTCAGTGCCGCGTAGTCTTGAACCCTAGGTTTCCTTAGCCTGGTGAAGTACATCTGATTTAAACTAGACTATGTATTAGAAGAAAGTCTATTACTGTTTGAAATGCGCTCAGCATTTGAAAAGTAACATTGCATTATCCTAGGGTACTACCAAATTTATCTTCTCAAAGTACTCTTGCGTATCAGATCGCTGGTATTGGGGAACTTGCCCTTGATAAAAATGAGAGAAGTCACTCGTTTACCAAGTTTCTCCATTGAAGCAGCTACTATGTTTTATTCCTCATTTAGTTAAAATTCTTCTTTACTGGAACTTAGCTTTTCAAGTTCCACTAGTTAGAATTTTTTTTTATGAGTAGAATACCTCTTGTCAGTTACTTAATTTTTGCAAATTGGCAAAAATAATTTTTTTTCGAAATATGTTATGCAAAAGCAGAAAGCATTCTAAAACATTTCCTTTACTTGGGCATTTGGGAGCTATCTGAAAGGCAGATAATACATAACAAAATGCAGATATTTTCAGGTTAATTTTGAAATTTCTGTGCTAATTATTAGAAATCCTAATTTATGTTAGGGCTATGTACAAAGTCGCTGTAAAAAATTCTACCCTGAAAGCATATAATTTAAATAGGTAAAACAGAGAAAGGATGGGGGAAAAGGAAGTGAGGTTCTCATTTTATAGAAAGGGAAATGAAATGAGACTTCTGGAGAAGAACAGACAGATTTTCATGAGTTTTCCTAATAGCTCCTGCTGCTTATGCTTCAGGCTATTATGCTGTGTTTTGAAAAGCTGTGCGGGTAGCTTGCCCACAAGGGGAGACTAGCATAGCCAGGTGCTCAGTCCTAGCCCTGGGTTGTAGGTTCTGGGGCCTGGACTCTAGCTTGATTAGTTAAGTATTGTCATTTTTGAAAAATAATATCTTACAAATCAGAGAGTATTATAAGATTCTACTATTAAGTGTCTCCCAGGAAAAGCAAGAAAGACAGAGGAGCAAAGAAACTTTTTGAGAGAGATCACCCTTTTCTTTGTATCTAAGAAGTATACACGTGACTGAAGTACAGCATATTCACATCTTATTTCATTATTAGCTAAGTTCCACTAGTTAGAACTCATTCTTGTTTTATTTGGGCTAGTCTCACTATCCCTTTAGCTCCAGTGACATTCACACTTTCTCATTTGTCACCTTCTTGCTCAGTTGTTTCTCCCGTACAGTTTCTTATGAACTCCCCATGTTCTCCTGTTGGGCTCAGTGCAACTTCCCTGTATCTTGTCTGTCTCCCCATAACTGCTACATCCCTGTCCCTTCCCATGGACACAAATAACCCTTCCTGAAAATCTGAGCAGACCTGATGACAGGACTGTAAGCAAGTAAAAGCTGTAGTGTTTTCACTTTAAAAGGAGGTTTTTGTTTTTGTTTTTTCCCCTGTGTGGCACTTGCTTGAATCAAGTAATCAAGTCCGGGGCCCTTGAGGAGATAAAACGTACATTGGGGAAAAGGGAAGAAAAGCAAAATTTACCACATCAAAGATAATGCAATTTGATCAGCTTTCACATTCTGTGATTCATATTAGACTTTCAGCTTTCCTAACTTAACACAAAAGCGAAAAAGCAAACGTGTTTGCTTTCTTGCTTCAGTCTTGCTATTACAGAGTGCAGATTAACTCACTGTTTTTTCCAAAGGAAAAAAGTCTCAGTAAACAATGTTGGTGAATGCACTAGGAGGTTAGGAATTCTATCTTAATAACAGTTGGCTTTGGAGTGCCACAGGAAGGAGCCAGGCAGGGCTCTTTTTATGGTACTGCAGTATTTTAACATTTTGTTTTGAAAAGTCAAAGTGTGAGAAGTTAAAACGGGCGATGACTGTGTCTGTAAAATGCCTAGCATACGCTTGGGCCAAAATAGTACCAGTTAAAGTTGTAGTTTTCCTTATAGGTAGTTGCATCCTTCATGAAACATTTTAATTAGCGCTTCCACACCATGGCATGTTTGTTAACTTGAAACAGGTGAATGGCATCCATCCAGAATGCAGATTTCAGCTGGAGATTCATAAGGAGGAAACAAGGTGCTTGGAGCTCCTAAAGAATGCCAAGCCAGTGGACTACAGAGGTAAGAGAAGATAAGCTGTAATGTGGAGACAACTGGAGTAATGGAGACTTTCTCCTTTTATCTGCTTTGCTGGCTCGACTACAATTGCCAAATTTTTCTGTACTGTGCTCACTTATTTTAGAATTCAGGCTGCCTTTGAGTTAAAGGTACAGCTGTGGCAAGGGGTGGGAGGTGTGCTGGGCTAGGCACGCTGAGTGGGACACTAGGTGGGAGCAGATAAACACGTCTTAGACTGGTGCCGCTAGTACTTTTCACAGGTGGAGAGGCAGGCTTGTGATGATGGGGACAGCAGGAAGAACGTATCTGAGGAAAAGGACAGGGAAACACCAAAGAGTCCGAAAGCCTTGATCCAGTGTCTCTCTCTGGCTCTGGTTGAAAGTAAAATGTTTCTCTCAAAAGTGCTAAGAATGATCACTGGCCTTCCAGAGGAGAAGGCATTTTAGGCAGAAGATCAGATTCATCCCCAGAAGTCCATAGGGTCATGTGAAAGAAAATTGGACAGTAGTGTTGCATTCAGAAAGCAAATTTACTGTATTACTTTGTTTTCATTTTTTCTTTAGATAGGCAGATACATAAATACAGATATGGTCAATTGTAATTTGAGAGAGGAAAGAAGGAAGAGGAAAAAGTAGCCTTTTGGATTTTTTTTTGTTTGTTTTTTAAGCGTTTCCTAGATTTTCTTGCTATGGTATCATGTGGGTAGAACATAAGAACATCAGAAAACAAACAAAAAGGGTGACATTTTTCCTGGAAGTTGGTGCTGCTAATGCAGCCATTTTTTTCAGCAGACAAAGCGTGAAGGTAATAGATCCAGAAAGGGAAATGAAAAGCAAATCCATAACATTAAAGTAGCTACAATACTAACCTTGAGCCAGAACTTATTAAAGTTCTTAGATTTTTTTAGGAAAGTTGTAAGAATGAATTTATTAAATTTTATTAATTTTACTGTTGAAGGTATCAATACTTTAGTTTTCTTTGTAAGCCATATGCCAACACTTGTGCGCAAAAAGCACTCTCTCTGCTCCTATTGGTGTAAAGGTATGAAGTGCTTGCATATGGTACCTGCCCAGTACTCCTCTGGTAACATGTATAATATTGAAGGGAAATAGTGGGCTTCCAGAGAGACTTAGAAACGTGAGGTAGAAATTTTAGATGTTGAAAATATCTATAAAGGCAACTAAGTTTTTCAACTTAAAATAAATTTTTGATGTTAAAGTAGTGATACAACTAAGACTAATCAATACCTTTCCATTGTCAATATCCTTTCACAGTAGCTGGAAATATTTAATTTCAAATTAGTTCTGCAAAGTCATACATCTCATCAGTATCCTGCATTTTGATATTCTAGACCAGGTACTTATTATCTCAGAATAACTGGGCTGCTTGGAGGACTACAGCTCCTGCAGTGCAGTTATTTCCTTAGCTGACTAGGTGGTGCATAGGCTGTGTCTTTTTCCATATTCAGTCCCCTTAGAATGTGCTTCTGAAGAAGATTATGGTCCCCCAAGGACCTACCATCTGCAGTGTCCCTTAAGCATAAACATGAGTCCCAACTCATGATCCTTTCTCCATCTCTCTTCTTGATTTGAATGTGTAGCTCCCTCAGTGCATACTTCAATATCAATTTGTCTAAAATAAAATAATTAAAAGGATCATCAGCAGTTTATATGTTACTATCACTTCTCCTTTTGATTAATCTAGATCAGTAATTAGAAAAATTATAACAACAGTGAATCATTTGCATGAATATCTCTTCCAAGCAAATCTGAATGTAGATGAATTATTCCAGTAAGATTTTTTTATTTATGAGTGGTAAAGAGAGTTAGCTGTTACATAAATAATACCACTGTAAAGCCAGATGGAGAAATAATTACTAGTCGTGCTTAATGAGTTTAATCTTGAATTAATAAATTCGCTATTAGAGATTTTTAAGGCTTTGGAAGTCAACTTGCTTCAAGATTCAGTTTTGGGATCCCGGATGCTGGGCTGCTCTAAGAATATGCTTGTGATGAGCACCAGTTTTGCTTTGGCTTTTCTGGGAAAAGAAAGAGGTTTTCTGTCAATAGGCTCTTGAAAGCTTCCTTTCACCTGAAGCACAGTGGCCTCCTGAAGGCAAACTGCCTTGTAAGAACTCCAAGTCATGGAAGGAGACAGTATGTCTGATGCTGTTGATTCAGTCCTGCAGGTAGAGAAAAATAGCAGTGGAAGGATTTATATATTTACTGAATGCCTGGCAGAAACTAATGGACTATTCTATTTTGTAGGAGACTGGAATAAAGCCCTTGGGGTAGTGAGCCCATTTTAGAAGCTGCATGCTTTAATGTGCTAGGAGAATTTATTCTATGCTTCATGTTATGTGGATAGTATTACCAAGAACCTGTCCAGAAGAGCCTATGTTAAAAATAATCATTTGTATGTCCTAAAAAAAAAACTTTCTCTCTGTGTCCTTATTTTACCAATAAACTTTATGTGTTCATTTGAAAATATAGGAAGTCTTTTGAACAGAGGTATGCGGATTGTCACAGCTACACTCGGACTGCTGATAAAGCAGAACTATTAATGAAAATTGGCAAACTGGAACTAGTCCAAGTGTAAGCTCATGCCTAAAACTTCTATTTCATTTGAAAGCTATTTCATTACAAGAAATCCAGGAAACCTACTCTTTTTTTTTTTTTCCTGAAAGGGAAAGGTGGTTATACAGCCCTTGTCACACTTTTCTGACTTACTTTAATATGTGTTACCTGCATCACAAAAGCTATAATGAAATCCAGTTGAGGTTGCTGGATAGAATTTGGAAATAAAGGTTCATTGAGTTTGTCTACTGGAGGCTTAGGCCCCCATTGTCAAAATGAGGGGCAATTTTTTCCATTGACTTCTTGGGCTCCTGAGAAGCTTTCACATCTGTGTCATGCTGCGAAACTTGCTTGGCATGCATAGCTACTGAGCTCTGGAGGGTCCAAATCTTATGGGATAGGCAGCTTCTCCTTTGGTCTGGAAGACAACTATTTATGGAATACCTTATCTAATGTTTCCACATCAGCTAGGGAGACATAAAGGAAAGGTTTAAAGGCTGTTTTGGTGTTTTTGACAACATAAAACAATGTAAAAGTTCTCTTACCTGACCTGCCTCATAACACGGGCTGAAGAATTTTATTCAGTAATTTCTGTAGTGCTCCTAAAATCATTGACTATGAAGTCCATGGAGGACCTGCTTACACTATTGCTTTTAAGTCATGAAGTATTTTGCAAAAAAAGTTGTATTAATACTGTGTATTTATCTTCTAAACAATGTTAAAGATGCATTAAAAGGACAGGACCCAATCTGCCAAAATTCTACTCATTTACTAACCTCAGACTCTTAAACAGCAATGCAAACAACCTGCTTTATGCACTTTGAGGTAATTTTAAGCATTAGCACATATTGTTTTGGTTAGCAGAGTGCATTACACTCAACTTAGGGGAAGAAAGTCACTCTCCAAAATCTGTAGCGGCACCTACCCCTCCTCAGTGATTTCTAGCAAATTTAAATGTTTACTTCATGAAGATTGCATTAGCTTCCATCCACCTCTGTTGTCCTCCTTCCTCCTATAATTTGACACCTAAGGCGTCCTCCTTCCTCCTATAATTTGACACCACCTAAGGTATGGATGTAGTTGTACATAAGCTGGAAGCCTAAGGTGGGTTGCTTTTTTTTGTGCTCTCATTTCTGGGTGGCAGATAAATTCCATTTTAAGTTGTTCATAATAGGTATGGATTTCGAGTTGTATATAGGAAAACAAAATTTGGTCTTTTACTGATTCCCCATGGCTTGTACTCATACCACAAAAAAGAGCACCCAATAAAAAATGTTGAAAATAAATAAAAATCGGACAACTGCAATTTTCTGTCTTTATTTGATATTTCAGGGTAATGGATTCATTCTGTTCACCTTTAAATGAAAAGTGAAATCTCATGGTGAAAAATTTTCAAACTCACATCCCTTAAAAATATATTGATAGACTCTATAACAGGTTTCTGTAACAAAAATGTATAAAAAAATTTCATTATGGAAGCAATGAAGTTGAATTTTTTTTTAATTCATTTTGGACTGTGTGGCTGCACAGTTACATCAGTCTTTTCAGCTCTTGCTTTCCGAATGTGTTTTTTGTGAGACCCATATGCCAGATAACATTTTTAATTTTAGATATGACATCTTAACTTTGTGCAAGGGATATAGACAGAAAGAGAAATGGCTTTGGAAAGAATTCGCACAGAACAATTTCATAAACCTTTCAAAGAGCAGCCTCAGAATGCAGCAAGTAACAGAAAATTAAAACAGACAGGGCTATCAAAAGGATACTTTAACTTATTCATAAATTTAAAGTGAGAGGGACCAATGTCACTATCTCCTCTAATCTCCTGAATTACACACTGAGAGTAGAATTTCACTGAGTGATTCCAGCACCATCCCTAGGGTCTTGTGAAAAGTATGGCACATCTTTCAGAATGCTCTCCAGAATGGCAGGATGGATATTCGAATGATAGACCTGTTGCAAGTTATCCAAAAGTTAGTTTATCTAACTAATCCTTGTTTTTAGGTTTATTCCTCCAGTAAGAGAGGACACATCTTGAGTTCTAAGCGTATGTTCATATAGGGCCTGAAAGGGGGACTGACAGCGGTTATAGCTTTGCGAACCTGAAGATCGCTCTGTCTTCCCCATCAGTAAAAGTACAAGAGAATTACGTGAAGCCAGATGAAGTCTCTTTCTTGCTACGTGAGAAAGAAAAATGGATTATGGATCAGTCTCCTCAAAGGTTTCGTAATCCTCCCAGGAAAGCTGGAAGTGCTCAGTCTCATCAAAAGTGTTCCATCATTATTTGTTTGGGTTTTTTGCAGCTGTTTTCTCAGTAAAAATAAGTCAGTACTTCAGACTACGGTGTTGTTTAGCGTTATCTGAGGTAGAGTTAAATGCAGAATTAAATGAGGTTGTGGGTTCCTGAAGCTTTCTTTCACGCAGCTC